GAAACCGACGGGAAGGGGAGAAAAGGAGAAAAGGGCGGGGGGGGGGGGGACGGGCGCGAAAGGAAGATCCACGGGAGCAACCCGTCAGCAAACCTCGCCTGCCCGGGACCCACCGTCCAGGCACTTTCCAAAGTTTCGATCCTGCGCATCACACGGGATTTTCCCACGCGCGCACCCTCCCCTTACCTCTTTCGCGCACGGGTCCCCTCTGCGCAGGCCCAGGGCGCCGCCGCCGCCTCCCCCGCGCGCACGTGTGAACGCCGCCTAAGACTGGGGGAAGCGCCCGGGGTTGCTTCCTTAACGGCGGCTGGCCGGTGGGTCAATCAGGAGCTCACCCCCATGCGCCTGATTTAAATGCAAATCCGGCCGGCCTCTGTCGAGGCGACGGGGCGGCCTTCCACCTTCCCCGCAACTTTCCCGAGCGCTCAGCCCCTGCGTGTCTGCGTGTGCGTGCGCCCACGCTCACAAGTTGCGGAGAGACCCGGCTCCCGCAGCCAGTTAACTCTCCTGCCTTCTGGAGAGGTTCAAGAAGTTGACAATGCCTTTGTGTTTCCCGCGCCTCTCCCAAAATACAGCGCACATCCACACGCGCATCCTGGCAAAACTGTGTAAATAAATCAGGAAAAGTTCCCACTAACGTCCCTCAACTTTGACAGAGGTCTGCGAGATGCTGTCTGGTGTGGGAGTTTTATTTATTTTTGTTTTCAATTACGTATGTTCTCCTTCTTTTAAATCTAGCTCTGTGTAAAAAAAAAAAAGGTCTAATCGTAAATAGGTGAAAGAAGGACAGAAAGGGGTGTGGCAGGCGATTACTGGTGCTTCCTAAACCGCTATCCAAGTTTTAAAATATATACATATATAGATAGAGACATATATATAGTCAACTGTGTATTCCTCTTTCAAATGTTCAGGGGAAGAACAAAAATCGCGTTTGAATTTTCCAGCCGAGAAAATTAAACCCCAATATCTCCCGAGAAAGAAAGGAAGTGGGGGGGAAACTCTGAAGATTTTTTTTTCTAAAAAGATGACCTTTCCTTGCATAATTTCGGAGGTAACCTAGCTGCGTAATTATATTTGCACTTACAGAACGCGGCTGCATCGCGCTTCTCTTATTGGTTTGAAATTCCATTAAATATATTGCAGGAGCTCCTAGGTTAAGCTTGATTTAAATTTGCATACATTTTCATATATTTAGCAGAAATAAAAGAAGGCTTGCAGCTACCCGAAAGTCATTAAGGCTTTAAGTTCTCTAGGAAGACAGATCTGGAGAAACAAACCCAAAAAATAAAATCCAAGAAAATGGTAAGACGGTCCCTAAACAAGGTGAGCTCCCACCTTCTTGATATCTATATATCTATATATTTTCTCTCGGTTGCATATTTGTCTTCACCCCCCCTCACCCCCAAACTTAGTTTAAAAGAAGGGCTTTATAATATCTTTCTATAAAGTTTCGCCGACTGGGCGGGTGTTTGAAAAGCTGAATGCTTTTCTTTTTTTGCTCGTTTTGAGTTAAAGTTTGAGACAACCGTGGCAATAATAAATGGTGAAACTTGGTGGGTTTGTTGTGGTTGTCGTCGTTGTTGTTTATATTCTAGTTCACTTCGCTGGCCGTCGAGAAATGTATTTGCTCATCCTCATCTATTTCTGTATTTAAGCCTAGAAGTGATTTTTTTTGGGGGGAAGGGGTGCGGTTGTTAACAAATACTTTTTGAGGAAGAGAGGTAACGTTCTTCTTCTTTCATTTATTTATTTATTGTCCTTGTTGTTACTAGACGTGTTTTGGGGATCCGTAGAATAATCGGTAAAAATTGGGGGATGGATTTATATGCGTCGGATGATGCAGAAGCAAGGACCAAGGAGGGTAAGTGAGGAGAAGTTATGGGAGGTGAAGGTGACGAATCTCCATGAAAACAATCTCTAGGAATCCACTCTGATCCAACCTGAACATGGAATCCGTCCTGTTTGTGATCCTCGGTTTCGAAATCCGTGGAAGGCAAATGAGGGCCAAAACTTCTCTCTGTGTCAGAAGCGAAGAAGCCTCGTGTTGGCAGGGGGCGAAAAGGATGACGCAAAAGCCCCGTGACCCCGATCCTTAGTCCACTTAAGCCGAACCGTGGCGGATCGAGGCGCATTCTAGGCGGCCATCCCCGGCACGCTTGCTTGGGTGCCAGCGAACTGAACCGAGTGGAGGGGGGGTGTTACTTTGAGTAAACACGCCCAAGGAGGACCTTTGAGGTCCGTAGGCGTCCGAGTCAGCCCGTCTCAAGTGCGATCCAGGCCGGAGGAGGGCAACGGAAGAGGAGCCTTCCCGTCGGTTCTCCTTGGCTTCGTTAGGGATCGCCCCGAGGATCCGGCTGGCTTTCACATTTCTCTCCCGCTCTTCCCCTGAACTTCTGAATGACCTTTGTCAACTTTCTTATTTTTGGTTCAAGTAACACCCCCGCCCCGCTCTCCCGCCTGCCCATCCGCCAAGCCCTCCTTTCCATTTTTTCTTTCACAGGCCCAGAGAAATCAAGCACTAAAGTAGCCTAATGGCGGTGGGAGGGAGGGATGCTAATTCGTTTTGAAGTTTCTTTGGTTTGCTAAAAAAATAATAATAATGTTTGATTCTGAAGGCACGGGCGCCCTCCTGTTCTGCTCCAGATTTATGGGAGAACAGATCCAGAGTGGCGATTCTGGGGACGATGCTGATGCCCTTCCTTCGTTTTATATCCCTTCTCCTCCTTCCTCCTTCCTCCTCCTTCCCTTCTTCTTTCTGCTCTTCTGGAGTGTTTTTCATCTGCCTGGAGCCGAGGCCCTCCTTGCTTTGCCTTCTAATCTGCTGGAGAGGGTTTCTTTAGCCCTTCCTGTCAGTCTAACTTCCCGAGTGTAACAGATGCTGCTCTCTGGAGCTCCTTTCTGCCGCTTTGCTCTATTCAGCCCCGCATTTTTCTCCCCGTGATCGGGGTTTCCATAGAGAGAGGCATAAAAGGGGCACCGAACCCGCCCATCCAGAGCCCCATAGAGAATAAAAGGACCTCATTCAATAGAACGACCCCGTCTGAACATGAGAGCATTCCCCCCCCCTTCGCCTCTCCTCCTTAGGACAGGCACAGTAACTGTTGCAAGAATTTGTAACTTATTTTTCATGGACCCCAAAGTGGGGGACTCGTTAATTTTATAGATGTATGTGGGTGGGTGGGTGGTTTAAAGAAAGAAAACAGCAGACAGAAGAAATGAATCGTTTCAGCTCATAATCTGGTTCCTTTTCTTATTTACGTTTGTTTGTTTGTTTGTTTTGGTTATTATTATTTTCTTTAAAGCACCTTTGACGGTCTGGTCTTGTCCTCTGCTCGTCCTGGGAGGACTTGATTTTCTTATCTCGCAACAAAAAGCTCCAAACTTTCGGATGGACAGAACAGCAAAATGAAAAATAGTAACATTTAGAGGCGAAAGTATCCCATCGGTGGGAAAGAGTGTGTGTGCTTTGTTTGTTTGCTTGCTTGCTTGTTGTTTTCTGAAGCTAAGAAAGTGGCGAAATATTGTTCTCTGCCTCTCATCGCCCCCCCCGAACCCCCAAAGCACTTGACAATTTCTCTTTTTTTATATAGGACCAGATCTGGAACCACTGTCTGACTGTCCTCTTTTTCTGGGGTGGGTGGGTGTAACTTTTCGAAGGTGCTTACTTTAGTTTAGGGGAGCAGCAGGCGAGAAAGAGGGAACTGAGGGGATCGGACCAGGCTCAGCCTTTCAGATGGCCACCCTGTCTGTC